GCGGTGATTTCGTTTGATTTTCTGTAAATTTCATAGTAAAGCTTATCATTGCTAAACATATTTTCTGTGCGATCGATATTTGAGGCTTAAATAGAAATTTATTTATTACTTGATAACGATACGTATACTTGCGTAGAATTTTATTATTAATTGCATATAATTATATATATTTAACACAACTTATTTTTCATACAAGGATCAATTTTTTGGCGCTGTAGAGCTGTCAACTTCATAAATCTTACATATAAAAATCGGGATAGTCTCCAATCAAAGAGTCTCACTTTCCACATGCCTACTAGTTTGAGATTATCAAAACTCTTTCTGATAACTTCTATAGGTGAGTGCACCCACTGAAATTTTCTAATAAGAGCGAACTTGCATTTCTCAGTATAGGTTAAAATTTTTAAATCAGAGAAAAATAATTATGTTTTCTCACATTTCCTACTTGTCTTCTTAACAAAAGGGCAGTCACATGTAGCATCACGAAATTCCTTATAGCTTAGTGGAAAGACAATAGCCGACTCCACCAGATGATTACCCACCACGTGAGTGAAGGAGGCTTTGTTAGGTTCAACCAAAGGAGGGAGCGCCATCAAAGCAGAGAGATTATCCACTTGCTACGACGCTCTGATGGCAAAAAGCGGAATTGAAACAAACGACGCTACGAAGATGGAAGCAGGGAGATGCCAAGACGCGAGCCGACAGAATCTCGGCGTCGAAATGGACGAAGCTGAAATGAAGATACCACGAAACGCAGTAAGCAGGGAGACACGAAGATGCAAGCTGACGAAGACACAAGCCGATGAAGCTGAAGACGCAAAAAGATGAAAGTGAAGAGTCAAAGAAACACAGTAGGCTAAAGTCGAAACAAAGGCGATGAGGTGCGAGCCATTTTCTTTTGAGCGCGATTGAATCATAAACGACGGAAATTACCCTGCAAAACCCTAGCAGAGACGACGGAAATCGTCATTCGAAATTCTATATATATATATATAAGGGGATTTTAGCGCATGAAATCCATAAAAGGAAATCCTCAAAGTTCTACGACAATGAAAAAAAGACCTGGTTCTTTTAGACACATTAATTTATGGAGGTTCTCTAATGGTTGGTATTTGAGGACTTGAACATTAAGTGTGCCGCCAGACCTTCCAGATGTTGCGCCCTAGCGCTCACAATACCCCGATGTCTGTCACAGCATATTTTAGCATTGTTTGAATACTTTGGAGTGTGGCCATCTTTTGAAGTAACTTGTATGGAAAAGCTTTCCGAGTTTTCACTGAGATTGTCCCCTTTATATTTTTTAAGACAAGTTAGGAGATTATGGAATCATGCAACCTTCATTTGGAGCTTAAAACTATGAAAAACCTTATATCTAAAGGTCTTTAACTTTGGAGATGCCATCAAGATCTTTTATCGACCAATCGCTCAAAGATATTTTTCCCTAACATCAAGCATCAATGTTCATATGTGAGGTCCTTTGAGCAACTAGGATCTTTTAGAGTGTGATTCGTGTTGCAAAGCATCCTTTCATATAGAATGCTCTAGGTCTTAACTTCAAGGTTGACCACTATGCTAAAGATGACATGTTCAGAGATCTGTGGTTAGCTTGCCAATCATTACTCTTTGTAAGTTGTGAAAGACTGTCTTTAGAGATCTAAAACTTTGAGCACAATCAAAGTCACTAATCAAAAGTGTTCTCCACTAATAGGTGTGCATATATTAGCCATGAGAGCTTGCATATATGAAAAACCTCAATACCCATGATCAATGTAAATCGTAGTCAACATCATTGACCAGCATATAAAAATCTCTAGGAACATTAACTCAATCTACCCCTAAAATATTGATCGCTCCTCCTGAAGCTCCAAAAGATTAAAGTGAACTCCCAAGTCAAAAGCACCGCTACTTCAAAAGCCCACAACTAATTAGTGCTTTCAAGAGATTGAAAAAACTTTACATCCAATGACTGACCAAAAAAGAAAAAACAATGAAAACTATACAATTTTCATAACTCTATCTCCATTGATTGTAGCTTAAGTTCCTCTCTTAAATAACTTTCCAAACAAGTTCACAATATTTTGTGCATTCGAGGCAACTGCCAAAATTTATGTTCAAGATAACATGCCAAAAAAAAAAAACTAAAATCAATACATTCAAGATTTAAGTTTTATGTATGTTTATCTAAACTGATTGTAATTGCACTTGAGTTCGTTGACTAACAGACCTCATTTTTCATGATTTCGGTAACAAAAGAATATCTTAACTAATGTTACAACAAGGATCTACAACCACTTTCAATGAAATAACAAATAACAAAAATCAAAATAAAATAATAAATGAATAAATAAGTAATAACTCGAGATAACACCTGAAGCCTGATAAGAAGATCTCCAGGACGAACACCCCGCCCGCCCTGACTTCCAGCTTTTGGCACTTTAATTGTATCACCAGAATCAACACCTATACCAATTGTATTGAATCAAAAGTAGAAAAAAGATACTAAAGTCAAGAAAACATAACAATACAAACCTTGAAACACATACAAGAAGGCAACTCAATTTTTTTTAAGCTTAAGAAAGGATCACATTGTTTGGTGTTACCTATGGCAGGTAACATGGTTAACAAGTGGGTCCACAGAAGTACACTAGAAGGAGAAATGATTCAGTTAATGGCAATGACATGAATAATCATGGATTAGGGTCAAATAGATAAGAACTAACTGACAAATGTTCGAAATAAAGCTCATTTGCTCAAGTTGGTGAAACAGCAGTGCTCAGTAAGGAGGAAACAAAAGAAAATATTCTCCCATGAAAAGCATAACCTTTTTTTTTTTTAACTTCACTAAAAATGCTAAGAAGAGTAAGCAGAAAGATATAAAACACTGCAAATTTTATTAATTCTAGCAACAGCACCACAACACGTATCAAGTTGATGGGCCCCTCTTATAGCAGACAGGTCAAGCGCTTTGTGCCAAAGACGTGCATATACAGTCACATACATCAGATATTCCATAATTTTAGGGAATTGCGACAGAAATTTTTAAAGAAAAAAGATGAAGAAGAAAGTTTCAAGCATTAGTTACCTATTCCTACACTAGCTATAGTGATAGTTCAAATTAGCTTACCTTACCTGCACATCATTTGCTAGTTATCCATGGACACCTATGTTATCACAACCATCAGTCTACGTAGGAGAGAATGAAGAGAATAATTTCAACTGTACCACTTGATACCAGAGCTAACCCAAATCACAATAAGAAAAGTAAATGTTATTACTAAAAACAAATAAATGACTACAACCAAACACACTTGGTTGAGAAATTACGGCTAAACAAGACACAAACTCACACTTGGAACAGCTAGGGGACAATAGGAATGTAATAATCGGTTTAAAGAAATCAGGCAAAAATTTTAACGAATATATCCTAAATTTCGCATCCCTCAAATTTCAATTGAATCAATTTTGTAAAATTTTACACGTCAAATCGATCAATTCGATACATAACACTATAAATATATATTATGAATGGAATGAGAAGTATACAATTTATAAGAAAATTGAGTTAATTAAATTAACTAAACTTTAATTAAACTGAAATCTCTCCCTAATTCCGCATTTACTGTGGCCATCGCCTTAGCCACACGATAGTTAGCTCTCTGGGATGTGTCGAATGGGGTAATCCTCTCCAAAGTCTTTGAATCCCTCTCCCATCTCTCAGTTTTGTCCGCACTTCCTCATCTCCCTCTTCGGATTTCCTTCTTATGTGAAGCTTCGCCGATGCACTATAGCACAGAAGCGATCCAGAGCACGAACAAAAAATGTTGCGCACACGACCGAGAGCCTTAAGCCAAGTTTTTGAGTATCGGGGTGAACCGGTAAGAGGGGATCTCATTTTTGTGATATTGTAGACATTTCTTTCCTTCCTCACACTTCCATTTTTAAATTGCCTCAAATTGTGTATCGTTTTCGTTTCTAGTCGCCAAAGCGATAATGATGTCGTGTCAGAAACGAAGTTAGTTTGTGGGTTACTGGAAGAGCTTCTAACAAGAAATCAACAAGGCAAAGGAGTAAACTAAGATAAAAAGAAGAAAGAAAAAGAATACGCAGTTTAAGAGAAGGGCGGGTTCACGTGAAACTCGTTTAAAGTATGTTTTGGCAAATGAGTTATGTTTTGAGTTAAATCACTTATGAGTCAAAATATTATGAAATCTTAAGATATTTACAGATTCCAGTTTATGTACACGAGGTGACGAGCTGAATGCGAAGTTAGTAATCCTATGCTAAAAAGAAAATTTTGATTAACAAAAATTTCTTGAATCATAAAGTTTGATTTTTATTTTATAGTTTATTAATATCAAGATAAAGATTTTCATAGTGCCTAGCTAATTAGCTAAGATTAAGAACCTAGCATGACAACAGAGACAATTACTTATATTTTTAAATTTCAGTAATCATTTTTTATTTAAAAATTTTTTTTTTTTTTAAAAGCCCAAGGGCAATTATATTGCAAAATATATTTTTTTTTAAAAGCCCAAGGGCAATTATATTAATACGGAAAAGATACAGAAAGATTTTATAAGAGGATCTAAAAGAAAGCCCAACTCAAACCATACAACGCACACAAAACTCAAATAAAGCAAAGATATATAAAGGTAAAAAAATCAAAAAACAACAAAAAGAAGCAAAAGTGTTAGAGACGTCTCACTTTAGTCCTCCCTCTGCCTCTAGTTCTTGGAAGTGAGCCGGCTAACAAATTGGAAAGGTGAGTACCATTGCCCCCGTAGTAACTAAAGTATCCTCCATCTGATTTCTAAGCTCAAGTAGGTCTCCATTCTCCTCTTCCTCCTGGATGTGTAGACATGTCATTCCTCATCCGATGATTGACTCATCTGATCAGTAGATTCCAACGTTGGTCGGACAGATGTAACTTCTTGCACACCACGATCCCCATGAGTCTGAGTAACATTAACAGTTTGCTCGACCTGATGAGACGATAGTGAAGCAGTAGAAGTATTGTCACCTGTATTATCGGTGATCTCTAGGGCAGGTGGGGTCTGACTCACCCTCTCCCACGATAGCAGGTTCCAAAGACGGGGGAGCTACAACTAAAGACTGAATGGTTTTCATATTGCCTGCAGGAACAATAACGTCATCCGGGGTATTCTTCTGATGATCAATAGTGTCAAAAACTTGGAGTTGATCAGGAGGAGATAAAATCACTGCCTCTGGCGGAGCACTATGCTTTTTTTGTCTGAGTTAGGGGTGTAGATGATGGCATTGAGAACTAGAGTAGCAAAATATACGACAGTTTGAGCAATACGAAGGAAAAAACTCAATCACTATCTTTTGCAAATATTTGTGATGTTGTGTGCCCAACTAAATTTCCTCAGAGACGGGTGAGGTTATGTCTCTTTCTACAAATACTCTAGGTTCAGATGGACGGAAAAGATTAAAAGTAGGAATGTCTATTTTGAGTGGCTTACCATAAGCTGAGGCAATAGAGTACAACGTTTTTTGAGTAAAATAATGAAATTTCAGACCAGGAAGGCGAATCCAAACCGGAATGATTGGTGATTCTGTCTGTATATCAAAATCCATAGATCATTTCAGGATTTTCATTGCTTTGTCATTAATCCAGATTATCCTTCAAGCAAATAAGTGTGTGTAATTTTCTTCATTATTTAGTTGTATAAGAATGTGTCTTATATCTAACAATCCAATTTTTCACTTTCCAACAAGGTGCATAAGCTCAAATTCCTTACGAATCAGTTTCATTTTGAGATGATCATATAAAAATTTCCCGACCAAATTCATTCAACGGAAGGAAGCAAGTAACTTCAGCTTCTGTAAAAAAATGCAGGTTTCTCATTCTTCCTACCAGGTTTCTTAATGTCCTTCGCCCACTCAAATGAAGGAGGGAAAGAACACGATTTAGGTGTATTTGAGACGTGGACACCCCCAAGTGCAACAGCATACGATATGTTGGAAGCCATGGTGGTGCGGCGTAGCAGAACAGAGAGCGAAAGCCCCTACGATCTCAGAGCAAAAGGAGCAGAAACCTGAAAAGATATGCATGATGAGCACAATAGAAAAAGATGTGCATGATTTAAAAGATATGCATGAGATGAAAGATATGAATTAGATAAGAGATATGCATTGTATGAAAGATATGTATGATGATTAGTTGCACAATAAAGTATGAATGCTAGTAAATAAATGAAGATAACTCAGAAGCATGCATGTTATGAAGAGTGAAATAGTTAATATATGAATGTTTGTGAGTTTGTATGTGCATGTTAAGAGGAGCTCACCTCCTAATGGTATAGACAGAGAAAGTAAGCATGAGAAGTATATGAACACTTATATATGAATGTTTGTATATGTTGGTATGTGCATGTTAAGAGGAGTGCACCCACTAATGAAGATGTGCATGATATAAAAGATATACATGAGATAAAAGATATAAATAATATGAGAGATATGCATGGTATGTGATGTGCAGAAAAACATGTTTAATTTTGTTTATATTTTGCACATTTCTATGAACAAAATTGCAAATTAAATAAGTGCATTTTCATATTTTTCTTGCAGGAACAATAGGTGGTACAAGTGAAACAAAGTGGATAAGAAATGGAGCGAAGCAGAGGTGACATTGAGCAAGGTGATTTAAGGGACTGGTGCCTAGGCGCCAGCAATTGGGTGCTAAGGCGCTCCTACCAAACGATTTGGCGCCGCCTTCTTGGGCGCCTAAGCGCCAGACCCAAACCAGCAGACAAAGAGGCCGGCGCCCATTAATACCTAGGAGCCAGCAAATGCTGAGCAGTTTTCAGCAGTTAAACCCACACGATTTAGGGAGTTATGAAAATGATATGGGGACTGATTTTTTAGAGTTTGAAGAGAAGAAACAATGTTGAAGTTCAGAGGAGTAGAAGTAAGAGTTTATGTGAAGTCTAGGGTTGGATTCTAAGTGAATTTTGCTTTTGTTTGGAGAGTTTTGGTGAGATTAGTGAGATAAATTGAAACGAAAACATTCAACACTGTAGTACGGATTGGGAGATCCTTTGGGGAGGCATTTTAAGCACTTTGTAAAGAGAAAAAAAACTAAGTATTGTGTACACTTTTATATTAATTGTTTGTAAACACAATTTTAGTGGATTTGCTTTGTATCAAAGATGTGTTGTGGTATTTTTTCCATGCTTTGTGAGTAGTCTTTTTATCTTTTCTTTTGTGGTGAATAAGTAGTTTGTGTAGGAATATTAGGATGCTTTTAAAATTGATTTTCAATCTTTAATGTGAGGAGTATTCTTCAATGTTTCATTTATTTTTCATTCTCGACAAATGATTAGTTAAAATTTGTTGTGATTCATAATGACTCGGGAGAGTTATGGAAAAACGATTAGAGTATTCACGTTGAAGTATAAGGTTTGAAGCAAAAGCAAACTATAGGAAGATGCAAATAG